ATGGGGAGGGGAGGGTCACGCTGCCCAAACGGCTCCAGGAATCCGGCCCGTCACCTTCTCCATCCCAGCCCCATTCCTGGGATGGGGGAGCAGCATCCAGGTGTCCCCCCCATCCCGCTCTCCCTGCCTGACCCCCCCCTCCACATTCCCGCGGGAGCCCTGGCCCTTATCTGGCTCCGGGCTGCATCGCCGGGTGGCACGAAAGCGCCGCGCATTCCCAACGCACATTCCAGCCTTTATCTGCCGGAGCATCGGCTCTGTTTGCTCTGCAGGGCTGTGTCCCCCAGGCTTTGCCCCCTGCCTCCCCTCTCCGGGGCATGTTGCAGGACACGTTCCCACATCCCGCTCCGTGGGGTCCCAGGGGCAGGAGCAGAGAATTTTCCAGCCTCTGGAGCGACTTTTCCAACCTCTGGAGCATCCGATGGGGCCTGCAGGTGGGAACCACTTTACCCTGCTCCGAGCTGGCCAAAGTGCAACTTTGGGCAAGCAGCCGCCTTTGCCTAAGTGCCCCCTTTTTGCATGGACGTGCGCCTTTGTGGAGACGCTCAGTGTTGCATGGACATGGATTTACAGGGAAATGCACTTTTGCAGGGAAATGCACGTTTGCACAAGCATGCACTGTTGCACAAGCACCTACCATTGCACCCGCGTGCACCTTTGCAGGGAAATGCACCTTTGCACAAATCTGCACCTTTGCACCCACGTGCACCTTTGCAGGGAAATGCACCTTTGCAGGGGAATGCACCTTTGCAGGGGAATGCACCTTTGCACAAACCTGCACCTTTGCACAAACCTGCACCTTTGCACATGCAGAGGTGCCCAGGGGGCTGCACAGGGTCCGGGGCGATGGCACCTGCCTGGGGGCTGCTCCATCCAGGCTGGTTTTCCCAGGAAGCGGTGGCCACGGGAAACCTTTCTGCAGGGCGGGCACCCTGTTTTCCCTGGCTATGTCCAGCCCTGCCACGTCCTTGTGCCAGCGGGGATGTGGAATCCCAGCAAAATCCAACATTCTATCCCTAGGAACCTTATCCCTGTAACCTTGATCCATGCAGCTCTCTCCCAGGGTGCAACCTCCTCTTTTCTTCCCTTTTTATCCTTCCTTCCTTCCGTCCCAGCGCTGCCTGTCACCTGCTTTGCCTGTGCCGCTTCCCACCTCCAAGATTCCCGGCTCCGAGCTTTCCAGGCCGGCTCCTCCCCGGCAGCCGGATCACTGGCCTGACGGGTTTCTCTTGGCACAGCCTGTGCCATTTCCCTGCACTTTGAATGTGCTGGCGAGATCCGGAGGCTGCTCCGGGCCGTGTCCCGCTCGGATCTTTATCCCATCCAGGGTCTTGGTGGTTCGCAGGGGTCTCTCTTGCAGATCCCGGTGCTGCCTGATCCCAGGGTCCCAGCAGTGACTGATCCCGGGATTCAGGTGCTGGCTGACCCCGTATCCTGAAGGTGTTTGGCCCAATGGCACCAGCAGCATCCAACCCCGGGAAACAGGGATTGGATGCCAGCAGTATCCGATCCCGGAAGCCGGGAGCGGGCCCACCTTGGGTCTCAGCACTGCCTAATCCCACGATTTAGGGGCTATCCGATCCCAGATTCCCTGTAGTGCCTGGGGGGAAGGCACTCCGATGGCCCTGGGGGTCTCTCCAAGCCTTTCCAGCTCCTCTTTGGAGCCCTTGCACATCCCGGCTCCTTATCGGACACATTCCTGCCCGGAGCAGCCCTGACCCCCAGCACGTCCCATCCTCCCAACGGCTCTGGGTAAGACAGAGATTAAGGACCTGTCACTGATAAGGTCCCTCCGTGCCCCCCTGTCTCCACATACGGCTGCTGGACGCGGCCCTGAGATCCTCCCCATCCTGGAAAATCCCAGGAAAAACAACACGGGAGTGGCAGATTCCCCCCTTTTCACTGCAGAGCATGGGGGGATCCTGTGGTCCCGGGCAGGGATGTGTCCCAGGGCCCCCCTGGATCTCCCAGCGCATTCCTGAGCAATGAAGCCACAGCCGGTGCCGTCTCCTGGTGGGAATTTCCCCTCCCTCCCTCCTGCTGGGAGCGGGCGGGAAAGTTGCTTCCCCAAACAGCCCCGCTTGGATTGCAAACAGAGGAGCAGCAGGATACGGGAAGGGCCGCACGGAGGGAGACATGGCCGAGCCGGTCCCTGTCCTCATCCCTGTCCCTGTTCCCATCCCTGTCCCTATTCCCATCCTGCATGGGAATCATTTAGGGGCTTGGTCCCAGGTGCAAGGAGCCACCGTGGCCCTTGGGGACTCCCTGGAAAGGTCCCCATGCCTTGGGGTATCCCCCTGCTGCTTCCCTGATCCCTCAATGCATTCCCAATCCGTCTGGACATCCCCAGTCCCTCAGTGCATTCGTGGTCTCTCCACGACTCCCCAATCCCACCGCGCATCCCTGATTCCTCCATGCCGTTCCTGATGCCACCCTGGCTCCGATTCCTGCATGCTGGCCCTGTCCCCGTGGGAAATCCTCATCCGGGTGGGAAGTGGCTGCAGGGGGATTTCGGGGCATCTCCCTGTCTGCCCTCCATTCCCAGGGCCCTGCACCAGCCTCCGGGATGCGCCGGCTGCTCCTGCTGCTGGGGCTGACTCAGGAAGGCGCCTGCAGCCTGTGGAGTCTCTGATGTCTCATAAGGGTTGTGCACCCGTGGGGTGGGCGGCTGCGGTTCACCCGGCGCCTCGTGGGTGGTGAGGTGGCAGCAGCGCTGCAGCGGGGGCTCTGGATCGTGGAAATGAGGTGGACCGAGACCCCTTGGC